CAACTGTGGTGGCGAAAAGGGCGCGATCTGTATGTAAGTAGACACACTACACTTTTGTCGCTGGTATAGAATTTTATTAAACACATACGCGCATACCATATGCTAAGTACCCAGTAGAGAAGATTACCAGATTACCAATAGAGGGCTGATATTAAGATTTTATATTAAAAAGAAATACAGTATTATAAGTATTGATAATAGCATATTTGTGTTGCTGCAAAATAAATTCACAATTAAAAAAATAATATTTGGTTACTTTACACTGACGTAATGAGAGCAATTTGTTCACAGTTTGTAGACAACAGAAATATACGCGCTGTTTTTCCTATAGGGAATAAATGTGATTTTATATACATACATACATCTATTGAGATGGTTTGGTGCTACTGCGTCATCAAGGGTCATTCAAACACAGTTTTGGTCATGTCATATGCCATTCGAGGGCATGTCAACGTAGAGCACAATATGTGTCGAATTTACAAATGCAGTAAATATGAATGTGTGAACTGTGGTCACACATATTTTGGTAAATGAGCTGCGAATTCATAAGTGTTAGGTTAGTGTTTAAATGTTTGTTGTAATATATATGTACGAGTATGTACATGATATATATAGAAATATGTTTATAAATATTTAATGTCCACAAGCATCGGTATGGGGGTTGGAATTGTTAATTGTTTTCGATATACGAATTGAATTTACTGTTTCCTTATTAATTTTTCAAAAGTTATAAGAAGCTTTAAGCAATTCTAAATGAGAAAAAGAATGCGAATTTCAACAATAGAATTATTATTCTGTAAAAACGCAAATTTTATGCTGGTCGGAAACTAGGGTCAAATCCTTAAGAAATTATTTCTGAGTGATCTATGTATATAACTAAATAATTTTCTCAATGCTCATATAAAATGGGCGGTAACCATCTATTGCAAATGTGTAAATATACTGTTTGCATGTATTTGCGTATTTCGTTTTAGCTGTAGAAAGCCCTTGTCAAAAGGTACATTGTGCAATGGTTTCTCCAGCATGGCGCTAAAAAATATGCAACAGTTTTGTATGTGAGGCACGCACAAATTTTTTGCGAATTTTAAAAAAGTATCTTCTTTAATTCTTTTACTTAGGGTCTCAAAACACCTTCAAAGATGTGCACGTTTCTAAAGAATCACAAAGGTACAATGGCCTTCAAAAAAGAGAACTCTAATGGGGAAGCCAAGAGTCTAAAGGAGAAATAAATAAAAAAAATTGTGCATGAAAAGGACAAATGCCGCAAATTTGCGGTTTCGCCCATAAGTGATGCTTTCAATATTGTGCGTTTTCAGTTACAATGTGGCCGCTGAGTATGAATAGAAGAGGAAAGTAGCAATTTCCTTTGAGGAAAGGCAAAATTCAAAGGATGTGTATGGCATGGGGTCATGCAGGGGTCGTGAGTGTATAAGCATGTAAACAATTGTGTAAATTACTGATTTAAATTACGTAACCCTTTTAACGTGGTTGCATTTGAATAAAGCGCTGAATTTTGCCTGATGGTGACTCTGCTAGCTTCTTAGGACCAGAGAATTTTGTTTGAAAATAAAGTTCGTAGGCTTCAATGCAAAAATATTTCGTAAGTTGTACGGGCTGCGATGTTAACAAAGTATATTGATAAAGAGTCTTTGTGACTGGAAAATGAAATATCGTAAATGTTATAGATTTGCGTAAAATAGTGGGTTTATTTCCTAAATGTCTAAGGATGATAAAATGTAATATATGTTAGAAGCAGGGTTGCGAATTAAAAATGAAAAATCTAAAATTTTATTTTTAATTTGAACCAGGCAAACGCGAAAAAAATTTGAATTCTAAAACAATTTTGTTTTGTTTATCATATCATTATGCCAAATTTTTTTTTATTTTTTAATCCGGTAAGTGGGATTAAAATTTTAATTAAATTATTTTTTAATGTTTAGAATGAGTTGAATATCCGGACATGTGCACTTTTGTTGTTTAACATATATTATTTCATCGACATATCACAGTTATACTATTTGCATTTATATTTATATATATATATATATATTAGGGTGGAGCGAAAAAAAATCTTTTCTCCACAGCTTCTTGAACACTTATCAAAAATTGTTTACCAAATAAAAATTTCAAAAATTGAGTGGGCCGCCTCTATAATGAATAAATGAGCTAGCTTGAGGGTTTGGTTGAGTACTCAGTATATTGAACAATAAAAGGAGAGACTATTTTCCCCATTACATGGAAGTATTCTGCTTGCCATTTAACTCCTCCTATCCTTATAACGATATGACCCTGAATTATTTGCAATTTTCGTTTTTGATATCACCCATCAGAGATTTGTGACTACCTATCAGGTATCTTGTCACTCATAAGGCTAACAATATTGCGAAAGAAAACAGCAAAAGCGTAGGAATCTACATACTCACATATCTTAACTAGTTTCCCCACAAATTATACGTTTTCATAAACACACAGATAAAAAAGATGAAGATTTGGTTTCCCGACTTCGCCCCCACAATCATTTTTCTACGTAGGCGTTTATTTTCCTATGCACTTGTTTATTTTAACTTCATCCACATGCTCTCACATTCATCTCCGTCTGCTCTGCCGCATATTTGCTTATTTTTGTTTATGTCGAATGCAAATTTGCTAGAGGGCGGCGCCGTCTGCTATTGCTGCGAGCTTTCTTTGCTCAGCCTGCTGCTTCCTTCCTCGCATCACTTTCTTCAATGCCTAATGATAATTTGCGTCTATTTTGCTGGCATTCAACGTTTGCATTTGCTACGCCAAATGACTTCCTGACGACACACACATATAGGCGCATATGTGAAATAGCAGAAGACACCGATGATGGCATGATAGCTATTCAATTCAATGTAGCTTTGCTGACTCTTGAACTTTATTGGCAGTTGTCTGCTGATGAGGCAGGATATGCTCTCATCAAAACGATTGGGCTGCAATAATGTGGGCCAATATATATTTTTATGCGTGTATTTAAGTTGAAATACTGCTTTTACATATGTGCCGATATACAAGGGCAATGGGTGACTATATGTGTGTGTGGTTCCTCCACGTAATTTGCTGACTATTGATTAAGGTCGTTGATGAGCTGCAATATTCGAAAGGAGTCGACTCCTGCAGTTCTTCCTCGGGCTTGATATTGAAAATAATGTGAATAAACTTGTTGGTATGGTAAAAAATAGAAGGAACTGGCTGATTTTATAATTTCTTATAATTTAGTTGCTATACACTAGTACTTTTATTATTTACTTGTGGTAGTTGTAATTTTTGAGCAAAGACTAATGATTATGTGTGTCTTAACTAGTCGAATAATTCAAATAACTAACGAAAGAAGATTCGTTGGTGTATTATAGAAGCGGGTAAGAAATTAAGGGAGTGTGCATGCTCGACAGTTGTCTTCTACTATAATTTGGTCAGGTGGGGTTAGCACGAATGAAATTGGGGTAAGCGGAAAAAATTATCAAGATTATCGGCTTTGCAATTTGCGGTGATGCCGCTGTCACCGAGAATCCAAAAAATACTAATGTGGCAGAATTGTGATGCTAATTCTAATGAGGTCATGCACTGCTTGGAAAGCTTTGAGCGGCAGTCAGCGAGTTTAGAGCCCTTATATACGCTCAGCTATCGCAGTAACTACGTACTTCTCTAGAGGAAGCTGCACTTTAGAGCAGTACATCCCTTAAGACCTGGAGACTATCTCTTCTTGAAAGACACTACAGTGGTCTGGTAGCCTGAAATTAGAGTTGATCGAGAGCTCCCGACAGAAGACTTCACCTCTTACCCCCCCATTAGATTGGATTAATCCGTGACGAAGCTCACTGCACTTCTTCTGCAGCGGCTTTGCCTGTCCACAAATTCCTCGAACGTGTGTGAGAGGAGTAAGAAGCACCAGCAGAAAGTACAGCGGTGCAGCGATCTAAATTGTCATGAATGTGAAGTGGTGAAGAATTTCAGTATGACACTCTTTGGACCTCTCATGTAACCAGCTTCCCTGAGTCTAGTAGCAGCCTTCGCCGCTGTGCACCTGTATATGCGTTCTACTATGGAAGAAAAGTGTTTGTTATTTTATTTTTACAAGTGTTGAATCGTTGAGAGAATATTACAAAAGTAAGTTTAGGAATACTTAATCGCGGATGACTGAATTTATGTACTCATCCATTGGCGATTAAATTTCATAATTTAAATCAATTGAGATTGTCTTAGTTTAAACATCAAATAAATCACCTATTCAATATATATAAATTACGAAAGGCAGCAGGCGACTGAGTCGCCGGTCGCCAATCATTGATTATTATCTATTACTGCCATCCCTTATTACGGTATGGAGAGGTGTCTTTAAAGAAAATTTGCAAAATTTATCTTTTATTTTAGCAAAGGTTTTCAGTTAAAAAATTTACCTTAGTTGACCTACAAAAAATCGTTTTAGTTAAAATAATTGATTAACTGTTTGAATAATATAATATTTGGTTGGACCGTGGTCGCACATAAACCATCATTAGGCCAATGTGCTAATAATATTTACATTTATACTTATTGTTAGTGTGAAATATTTTTAAAGAATTTGCAATGCCTACTGATTTGGTTATATGACTAAATTGTACGTGTGTTCCCAAGGGGTTTTTCATTATGGTATTTAGTAGTGTGGGTAGTAGTCATAGGGTTGTTATTTTTTGGAATAGGACATTTACTGTTTTATTTTCTGCATTCCAACTTTCATATGTTTTCCGTTACATAAGTTGTTTACTAACGAATATTTGAATTTTGTAGTACTTTCTGTGAAATAAACACAATTGACAATTCAGTGGCTCATAAGTAGCGCTCTATACTGTATATGCATGTACTTGTGGCAAGTATGTATGTATGTATCTATATTTTTGTAGAAGTAAAAATGACCGAATATAATGCGACAATGAGCGCCGCAGAGGCCGTCGAGTCATGTCGCAAGTCATTTTTCAATTAAATCAATTTAATCTCATGAATACGCCTCACACACACACACACAAGACCACATTTATGAGTGCGCCAGTATGTGTATTGCCTCTTATGCGTAAATAAATTGCTGTTCGTGAAAACTTATATAAATTCTAGGGCTTGTGTACCATATTTTAGTATGCGACTTTACATTGTTTAGCATTAAACCAGCCCAGCTGAGCCAAAATCGCGCACTCAAAGGCACACACGTACACACACACAAATGTACACACTGTCACAGATCGTCGTGCCGCATTCGTCCGTTTACTCTCGATTTGTTGCATTTATGCATTGTTGTTGTTGCACTGCTCGCCACCACTATCAAATAGCTGGTCGCTGCAGTGGTGGTGGTGGTGGCGATGGTGGACAATTGACGATTAGCAACGACTGACCGGCAGCTGTTGTCGCAGGCGTTGCTGAGTGCTCATTCCGAGCGAGCGAAAAGGTCACATTGAGTCAGTTTCATGACGTTTTGAGATAAAATTATGGTCGCGTAAGCATATTTATGCAGTATGTGTGCATATATATTTCTGTGAGAGCAAAAGCGAACTTAGTTGAGCTGGTATTAGTGCACGCTAGTTAATGTCGGCTTTCTCCTAAATGCCAATACAGCGGGCAGCGAAATTTCCCCTACAGTTTCACTTGTGGTCCGGTAGCCTGTTGTTCTTGTGGAGTGTTGTTGCTTTGATGATGATGATTTCAATTCTTATTTTTGTTTCTTTATGGTGGTGACTTATTAGCTTTCCGGTCAATTGGTGGCTGAATAAGGCATGTGGGGAAAAGAGTTGCCAGACGCGCAGGCGCAAGATGCTTCAATTCTCACAAAAACACAAATCATTAATAACTTTGGGCGGATGATCGCGATTCTGATCAGTTGTAAAGTCGAGCTCAATCGGTGATGAAGTACGCGAGTTGGTGGCCAGGAAAAAATAAATAATATATAGTAATGCTGTCATAAGTGAAAGAAGACACATATATTTTTTTAAATAGTAACGAGATTTAAAATTTTCTTTCGAAATATTAGAACTTAGATACTCTTACAGTAAGCATTTTAATAAAGCTATTATGTTTCATTTAATTACATTTGGCGAACAAGCATACCGATCGGAATCCGAGTTTCATTTGCAATCGCGTAACGAATGTTTAATGAGTTACGGGGTTAAGACCTCAACAGAAATACGCGATAGTCGTTATCGGCACAAGCTGTTGTCGCTCGCAGTCCGGTCCAGCCGGTGCTGGGGTGCACTGCTTGGGCAAGACTCGCACAGTTGGGCCAGCTGGCCGGTGCTGCCTTGCTGGTATCGTCTCGTATAAGCTACTCGATATTACTATATAATTGTTATTTGGTTTTCACACGGATAACAACAATTGCAGAATCAATTTCGGATATTGTCCTACGAGAATATTGTTGATATTGAAGGATGCAACACCTCGCAATTTAGGTAAGTCCCATACTTTAAAGTAAATAAGGAATACTCATATTATTGAATACCAATGGAAATCAAACTCTACATTTGTGTGTCATGAAAACACAAAAAAAAAATATTACTTTAATCGAGAATAAATCATTTACTCGTACACACATTCTCCAGCATACATATTTAGTTATACTTATTATTTAGTTGGTCTGCTTGCACTGTTATTTTTTTTTATTTTCCGACTCGGCGTTCGCAAATGCGATAAGCATGTGCCAACATTCCCATATCACTGTAATATTTGCTGCCATGGACCATATAATTATGTATGTATGTATGTACGCAGGAATGATGTGTTCAAAAAACAGTTCTTATTTGCAATTAAACTTTCGGTTACATTACATTCGTAGACATACATACATTTAAATATGTGGTAAATTCGGAAATCCGCAAATATGCTACGAGCATACTCAAGACAGTACTTGGTAATTTGCTCAATGAATATCTATACACTGACACATGAAAAAATCATTAATACACAGATACATATGTATATATATGTTTGTATTCGTGTGTTCACATGTGGCTTGAGCAGCGTTTAATTGATAAAAATTTAATGCAATAAAACTTATGCTTGGCATTCAAAAAATCAGCAAGACAATTATAATGTGAGCTCACACATAGGTATTTCATATATACATATGTCATAGTATATGCGTTTCATGTGCAACACCATATGTACCTAAGTATTTTTACTTGAGTTCTTGCTAAAATAAGTCAAAACAACATTATATTAGAGAGTTTATTCAATTCGAAGTTTATATTTGAAAATGTCATCTGTTTATCAGTTTTCTGAGGCATTGAAAAATGTTCATTAAAATATGCGCAAACTGATGGCGATAGCTGTGTGTCTAAAAATACCATAACGCCTGTTATCACTTGATATATGTTTGTACATAAGTGCATACAATAGCATCGCACATTAAATGTAGTTAAGTGTTTTGAATGGATTTGAGTTGAGTTGAATTGGATGCAACAAATATTTTACCAATTCAACAAAATTATTATATAATGAGAGATCTGTGTGAGTTTTTAAGCGTTGCGAAAGCTGCAATTTTATTTTATTTACACGGTAGTTTTATATTTCTCCAAATCTTCGAAAATCTCTTAATATGGGTGAACGAGAAACACTGTGAATAACGAAAATTGAAATTGTCAAAGCTTCGTTGCTATAACGCGGCACATCTCGGCTAGTGAAATTCATTAGTAACGTAAGAATTGAGTTGATTGGAGCTCTAAGAGCCGAGAACTATGTCCTGGCAAAGTAAATATTCCAACACTTTTGGTTGCAACTGTAAGTGGATATGCATAAATAAGTTGTATTCATAACTCGCATAAACATAAATAAAAACCAATGACGGCACTTACGAGTAGGTGTCTTCGGTTTTTCTATGCAACAATATCATGCCATGCTTATATACATATATGTTATACTTGCATATGCAACATCTATACTCCTATTATGATACTCCATTCTACTTAATACGTGTTCATGTAAATTGCAAAGACTGTGTGCTTGTGCAGGGCAGCATTTACGGTATTCACCTTCGTTACTTACTGATCTTCCGCCACGCAACCCGACTACCAGCTATTAAAGGTAATTTGCATTTATTTCTTAATATAGAATTTTTCTCCTTACTCGTGTTCCTTCCACCTTTTCCTCATTCAAATTCAAAATTTTTTTCCAAAGCAATTTTCCTGCAAATTATTATAAAAATTCATAACAAAACGGAGAAAAGAAAGCAATACTTGCCCATACCGGCGACAATATAGACGATTTTTTAACAATTTTTTTTACGTTCCTTAAAAATAAAAAAAAAACCTTTTCAACCCTCTCATTTGTTGGGGCTGATTAGTGAGTTTTATACAACCTTACTGTGGTTCAAATCACTGAAAAATTCCACGTTATACACATTTTTGCGCTACAAAGGCAATGTCAGACCTCGGTGCGTACGAAAAGACTTCAAATGAAAATTTTCAAACGTTTGGAACTTTATGAAAAATAGTTGAAGTAATATTTTTTGCAATTAAAAGGAAAGGTGTAGAAAATTACGGTTTTCGCGGGTATATAGTATGCTGATATTATTGTCGGTGAAGGCGTTGATGATATGCCATTGTCCTTTCTTGTGAAATTTTTATTATAGCGCTCACACCAAGCTGTGGCAACTACAACTAAATCAAAGAAAAACACAACAACATCGCCAACGGTACTTTGCTACTTTTCCACAAAAGCAGTTATTATTTCGTTAGGTGATTACATTACTTATGCATATTCTGAGCTACAGTTAGCTGTGTTCCATGTACTCACACACACTCGCACTCATTTACCGCACATAAATTTAATATAGTATATAGTACATATTTGTGCAAGCCTTGCAGGAAAATTCGCTGGAGGCAAATGCACTAGAGTGCTTGGCACTTAGCGGCATTTCTAGTTTGCATTTTTTTGTCTAGTCTTTGACTTTTCCCTACAAGGAGTGTTCAATTTTATTTATATGCATATCTGTGTTGGATATATGTTTTGTGTAGTTCTACCAGGACAGGCTTACATATTCCTTCGTATAAAGTTATGTTGGAATTGTCCTTGTTGTCGTCCTAAGCGATTTACTCTTCAAGTGTTGTAATGTCAGTTGTTGTTTGTAGTTTATTTGTTGCTCGTGTTTGATGTGTAATTTATTTAAGAGTGTTCGGCTTACACGTGAGCATAAAGATACATACGTACATGCCATATAGAAGAATTTGCATGTTAGCTTTGCTGTCACCAATCGCTGTTAACCTTGTCAACGGACCGACGTCGAGTCATCATCTTATAAAAATAAGGAAATATGCGAACAGTTATGTCAGTTATACTGCAAGGATTTGTAGCTGAACTCACAGTACTTGTGATTTTTATAATAAAGCCAACAGTTCGGTATTGGAAATTTATTAGTAAATCCTTGTGGCTTGTTTTCATATATTCCTAACAATTGTGACCGATGGGGGGCAGTAAGTTCGTGTCAGTAGGTTCGCAATAAGTAAGAAGTTTAGAGTTTAATTTTGAGTTGACAAGAATTGTGAACTCTTAGATTTATCATTAGAATTACAATAGTTTTGAATTCCTTTTTAGAACAATTTATACAATAAGCAAGAAGTGCTTGAGGTTGACACCACGAACCAGCATTGTGGCAAATTAATTTATGAATATTACTAGGTATAGCGAAGTGAATGTTGATCCAGGCTCATCACTTTCTTTTCTTTGACGTTCTCCAAACTCAATTTATCCAAAAGCGGCTTTCTTCTCTTTTAGAAGCTGAGCTTATTTAGTTTTTCTCTTTTTGAGTTTTAATTCGTTATTCTGAAATCTCAAACAGAAAAGAACAATATTTACTAATAATTACATGTCAAATAGGAAATATTTGCAAATGAAAATACAAACGGTAATTAGAAATGTAAGGCTTTGGGTAAACTCCTATTCTCTATAAGGGTTTAAAAAGTCGTACATTTGTGTGAAGCTTAATTTCATGTCTCACAGAGAAGCGCTCCTGCACATAGTCATTACTAATGGTATTTATGTTGCATAATGTGCGCGTGTTCGAGAATTTCCGTTATTGACTATAGTGTTGCGCTTGTCGACTCATTGCCACAACAAGGAATTTTGGCTTTTATTCGACCGTGTGCGCATTACCCTCGTTCCACATTCGTCACAGTCACAGTCACAAAGTAACTCAGTTGGTAATTGCATGCCTGCAGCAACTAAAATTGGGTTACTTGATGTAGAAAATTAAATTGTTGATATCTCATTTGCGAATCGAAATCGAAATTTTCGACACTGTATTGGAACGGTTGACGCAAATGAAAAAACAATAAAAACACATACGACATTATACAATAGAATGCATGTATGTGTGAGTGTATGGGGGCCATGGAGCTCATAGTATCGGATTGGAAGCCCCAAAGAAAAGCACGAATCATTTTGAAGTTCGTTAACAAAATTGACTTTGACTTGCTCGTGTTTGAGAATGGGCTTGTCTCATTTTTGAAGCATCTTTTAGTTGGCTACTACTTTTCCTGGTGCGGAAGTTCCTTTGGTAATAGGGAATGTGTTGGAAAATAAAACATTTGCTATAATTGTCCGTCCAATGCACACATTTGAGAGAATTTTTGATTGTATAAGACATGTTGCGAAATGCGTTATGTTACTCTGAGTTTTTATATTATGCTTTCTGGATACTCAAGATTTATGAGTTATAAGCATATAATGCACTAATCTCTTCTTATTTCGCTATTTTGTCAGCGCCAAAATCGACTTTATCTAATTAAATTTCTTTTTTAAAACTTTGGAGGCGAAATTGAAAATAAAATTTAAAATACTTCAAATTTATTTTCAATTTCGCCTACAAAAGTTTCGTGTTTATATTTAATTTCACCATGCCACAGTCTCACTACAATTCGCAATGCGGCGACTTACTCATACTCCGTTTGTTTATCAACGCGTGTGGTGAGCACACACCCCGAAATATGCGTGTGCTCCGAGTATATTCAACAGTTCCCTTTAACGAGCTGACTTTTCACTTTGCAGGAAATTCCACTTACCTTTCCGTACTTATTTGCTTTAGAGCAAACTTTTCTGAAAAAATATGCAAAGTATACTTGTTCCGAGCAGTCGGTGATTCTTTGCATATTCGTTGTTATACAACTCTCTTGTATGCAGTTAAGTACCCGTTATTGTGGAGTATGGAGATAATACATATACATATGTGTGGGGCTTCGGCATGTGCACCCGTTTATTCATACATGATTTCGTGTGTATGAACGCGTGTTTGATCGTATACTTGTCAGCTCGCAGGTGTCAATTTATTTGCATACATTTTTGCTGCAAATTTGTACACTGTGCCATATTGGCGGCTTTACTTCAGATTCCATGCGCAGTGTTTTAAGTTATCGAAAAGGCTTCAAATCCTTTCAATTTTAAACACACATTTTTTTTAATTTTTTCAAAAAAGCAAAATTTTTGTTTGTGCCAGTGGGTGTTGCTATTTTTGTGATTAGCTTCAGTCTCTTACGGACATTTCATGTTTTCAGTTTGCTACATTTCTTCTCGCTATATTTAGGTTTGATCTCTTTTCGAATTAACTGCATGTGATGGCAGCATAAAGTGTATTTTCAACTCACAATTTAAATATATACCAGTCTAATTGACTTATGTAAGTCGACTTTTAGATTCGCTACTCTCTAAAGTTTGTCGAATCGAAAGTGCCTAATATGACGTTAAAAGCTAATGAAACTGCTAGACTTTTAATATCTCTCAGCTTTATAGCGTTATTTTATATAAAGCAAGAATTTAACAGCAGGTGCAAAAGCTAAAACTTTTCTTCAAATATAATATTTGGCCAATTTACTCCTTTAATTATAATGAAGACACAAATATTTTCAAGCATTAAAATTGACATAAGAGCTTGTAAGTGTGTGAATTATTGATGCTACATATATAGTAGTGGCCTTATGCAGCTGCCACTTAAAAACGAGCACTCACGATCAAATGACACAATGTAACGTTGCTCAATTTAATTAACGACAAAATTCAATTGAGCAATTTGTGTTCGAAAGCTAAATACCTACGCACGTTCCCGACCTTTCACTGAGTTCAAAAGGGTTAAATTGTTGATTGGCACCAACCAGCGGAATATAGAAAAGAGAAAAGAATGTCAATAAGTGTGAAAGACTCTCACCCAATTCTAAAGCAATATTTTACATAAAATTGAGAGAAGATTTACAGCTGTATGAGACAATCTCTCATCTTATTTATACCGAGCTATCGTGTATCTCTATCTGTTGCAAGGCATTGATCTATGTAAGTACACTCGGAGGGATGCAAGATCGTTTCGCAGTTGAAGGCTATAAATGCTAAGTGTGTGTGTGTATAGTTGATTGTAAGCGATTTCATCTATTTCTTGATGGTGTGCTATCAAATTTTCTAAACTTATGTGGGAAAATAATTAAGAATGAATGTATATATTTGAAAGCGAAACTGAAAATAGAATACCGAAAATAGGGAAGAGCGCAAACACAAACAGAAAATATTTCCGAAAGAAAGAAACTACACATTTTTGAGAGGGTCAATTAAGCCAATTTAAATTTAATAAATATGGCAATAATTAAATAGAATATTACTACGCGACTACGCTACAAGCGCACAAATATGAAAGCAATGTCATATTTCCTTGCCCTACTTATGTATGTGTGTATATGTAAGAGAGTATGCTTATCGCTTGCTTGGTCTCATTTGCTAGCGTATGAAGCTGATTGTTGAGCTGTTATTGAGCACTTGGAATTTCCTGCAGCTCGATGCACTTTTGTTGAGTGGGATGCCACACTGAGCATTAGTTGTTCCTCAAGTCTAAGCTTCCTGTCGGACACTCGTTCACTGCTATATAATTTGAAGAGCGAGTGAGAGCAGCAGAAGTGATATGGACACCAAGTGGTATTCTTAATTTAATCTGCATTCCTCGATTATAGCACTTTAGGTAAATATAGACTCAAGTGCATATGCAAATGCTCCATACTTATTTTACTCGCAATTGTATATTATTTATTAATCGCGAATGCAGTTAGCTGGCAGATCAAATAACATCCACTAGCATGTGCCTAGGAAAGCTGCCTTTCTTTAATTAATTTAAAAAAAATTCATATCGTTCAAAATTATACTCCACAAGTATATCCTGATATTTACATAGTACCATTTACCTTTTGTATTTGCAGACACAGATGAAACACGCGATGATCATGCCTTAAACCTTCATTGCGCATCATAAAATATTTTAAAATGGTGAAAAGCGTTTTTGTCCGACAATTTTTAAACTAAATGGATTACATTTCACTAATATCGCTTTTCTAAGTACTAGTGCCGCAGGAGATAGTTCAAACGACATATAGTAGACCCCTGCTGCCCCAGTGCTTATCAAAGCGTGTTTAGTGTCAACGTCTTACGGTTATAAAAATACTGTAAAAAAGGCAAGAAAAACTTTTTAAGTAAAGGAAACAATTGGTAGTTTAGTGACTGGTGAGATATCACAACTAATGGTGAATGGTGTAGACGGTTGGAGAGCCTGATACTCACGGTTGTTCATGGATTCGAAAATCGGCTGCAACGGTATAATTAGTTTGGAAACATATATTTTCTTAATTTCAGAGTGTTTTTCCAAGGATAAATCATATAATTTATATTCAAATACAAACCGGCAATTAAAAGTGGATCTTGGCTAAGGCTTGAATGTGTTGTAAGTATTGATATGCATTTAGAGGATACAAATGTTAATGAGGGAACTCCTCATAGAATGAAAAGTTGTAAAAGAAGGCAAATAATATATAGAATGTACATTAACCAATTTACGGTGCAGAGCTCCGCCCACTTTTTAAAATTTTTTAGCGAACGGCGGTCACGCGCTACTGTGATCACAAAATGCTATTGTGTTGAAAAAAATTGTAAATAATGGCTATTCAGATAATTTTGTCCAACAGAGTATTGAATTATGCGTGTGGGCTGCAACATCTTTCCCGATATTCAATTATTTTGTGATTTTCTTATCTTTCTTTGCGAATTAATAAAATTTAATTGCCAAGCTTTTTCGCTTAGCAACTTTGTCAAATGTGTAATGCAAAGAAACATTACTTGTATAACGGAGTCGCAAAGGGAAAAATGGAAGCGAAGACAAGATTGGGTCCTGGATGTGAAAACCGAATTGTGTTATGAGTTCTTTTTGGCTGAAAGACGACTGGGTCATAATAATCATACGCCGTGATTTAACAGGGTAAAGCATCAGGTGAGTAGGCTTATATTTGAATGCGTGCACACGATTTAATGTATAGCAAATTTATTTCCAGAAATGATGTGCAGGATCAAAATAGATATGGCGTTATCTAAATGACTAATTTTTCTATTAACGAAATACAGCACAAGCTGTTTTTTTAAATCGAAAAGGATCAATTTCAATGTTTAATTTTTAGTTTTTACAAGTTACTCCGTTTGAAACTAGGATCTTGGGGTAGCGTAACAAAAAAGAACACCCTAGTGCGCAATTATTCATAGCTCTGCATGAAAATTTATTAATAGAAAAGAATATGCATTGAAACGCATGTGACAAGTTAAGCCGAGTTTTTCATTTCGATGCATATTTTTAACAATATTCATATAAATTAATATTAGTTTGAAACTGCTGCAAAGCGCAAAGCTTAAAATTTTTGTCAACAAATGTTCTGTTTTGTTTAAATAAATAAAACCTACAAAGCAGAATTAGTCTTTTAAAAATCCTAAAAGCCATAGAAAGCCGAAACCTCAAGATGTTGACATTTGAGCTGAGCTTAGGCTCGCTGCAGAAGTGCGCACAGCGTAACATGGCCTACATTTGAGAGTGCTTGTCTTTCTGCTTGAGCAGAGTGCTATTGCATGCCAGAATACAAGAGAGGTTTTCATAAAAATACACACGGCACATATACGGCATATACATGTACTAACTCTGAGCATTAGGATTTGGGTATGGCTGCGTGTATGTAAACTATTGCACATAGGTATATGTATTTACAAGCATTTATTTATGTATTCCACTGTTGTCGGCTTTACACGCTTGATGACAAAATGCGAAATGCAAAAATCGCTCGAAGTTCCATGTATCTTGCTGGTTCCGACCACCAAGCACAAAGTAAAATTTTGAGTAGCGAGCCTTGTAGGAGCGAGTAGGGAGGGGAGTGCAGAGTGTATAAATAATGCTACCAGCATAACAAAAGCCAGAATAATGTATACACACCAGCTTAATAAGAAAACAGACAACAAGTGCAGATGCCGCTGGTGTAAACGCATAAATGCAAATGTATGTGGAGCAGCAAGAGCGGGCTCTTAAGCCAAACAGCCCGCAAATGTTGGCATAAAGCTCAAAAGCAACGCAAACTTCACTCTGTTGATACACTAAACTCTCGGTTCCAACAATTCGCCAATCCTTTTCTTAGCCGCTGAAAACAGTCATCGGTAGCAGCACACACACACACTTGTTATATTGTTATATTGTGTGTAAGGCTGATGTAAATACATATATTAACATGACATCTTACATAAACAGACTCGTACTTTGGTATAGAAACATTAAGTCTGCAACGTAACATAATGCTTTGATTGTTTTGTTTTTACTGTGGTTTACGTGATATGAAGTATGTATAATTGACGTGCCTAACGCATTCTCAGCTTTAAGACAACGTGCGAAGGAAAGCCTAGCAGTAGCTCCATAGGGAAACACAGGTCTTTATATTGTACAGTGAATCGGGCATAACTGATAGTATGGGCCATCAATATCTTTGGAAGATTTACACTTTCCTTTGGCGTAGCAATAAAAAGAAAACAAAAAGACAACGTGGCCTTTGAAGGCACCTTCAACTATAGGCAGAGGCTGTTGTGGAATTCAAGCGAAATTTCTCTTTAATTTAATTTTAGGTGCCGCCCTAATGAATATACGCACTCAAATACATAGGTATGTGGATATGATTCATGCACAAGTATGTTACTTTTAACAGTTAACTAACAGCTGACAACACTATCTACTTTTGCCTTGTCTGTAGCAGGGTACAACGCATAAAACCAGCACACAACAACAACTGAAATGGCCAGAAGCCTATTACAATACACACAAGGCGAATAACAATGCAACAACATTACCTAAATGTTTATTCAAGTTATTTAACTTAAACTTCAAGTTAAATTAAGCAAACAAAGACAACAGCAAAGAAATGCCAGCTTCGGCGGCAGTGAGGGGAAGATTAAGGATGCGTATAGCACAGTAACAACTTGTAGACGTAGCAGCCACATTAGAGCCATTAGCTAAGGGATCTCAAGATAAATATTTAAAGTAGAAACAACAATATGTCAACAGCAACAACAACCATAATGAGCGCTGTGGACCCAGCAATACAAGTACAAAGGACTAACGGCCCACAAGGAGAGCAATAACTTCTCGAGGACGACAGCGCGAGCAACCAGTGTACATGATAATATTAGTAAAATCAACAATGTGCAATGTAACTAAGTACAAGCGCATGTGTGCAAAAGCAAAGATCAACGACAACAAATGATAACGACCAGGGAAACAATCAAGCAAGCAGGCTAAGCAAATCAACAAACTTCGCCGCTTGCCACTGCGTATACGTAATGTCTAACACACTCATAAGCCTTACATGTTAGATAAGTAAGTCTTATTGCATATACGCATAATACAGTTGTAAACATGTATTTATTACCTGCAAAGTGTGTTAGTGTGGGAATATGTCTTGCTCGAAAGTTCCGTCCACGTGACAAGCTCAGTAATCGAAACACTTCTGATTCAATGCTCCGAGTTACTTGCTTGTAGTCATACAGTTTTTGTAAAAAAATTCGATTTTACATTCAAACAAAAATACAAAGAAATCATAACGTAATGAGTTTATTAGAAGCTCATATGTTACTAGCTGCACCCTGCGTGCGTTGCTACGCCGGCAACTGAAATAAGTTTGAAGGAAAGATATTACACAAATATGCAATTCATTTTGAGTCATTTTATTGATTTTGTTCATCTGTCGAAATTTGGTCGTGCCATCTGAGAAACTTTTTTGGCGCATGCACAACAACTTTGCTATAGATCATCACATGATGAAATGCATAGTTTACGATTCTATAAAGTAAATATGAGTACAGACAAACATTCATTTGTATGTTCAGGTGGAGCGACCAAATTTTTTTTTTTGTTTAGCCTGAGGGTAAAATTTGTAGATTATCATAAAAGAAAATGTTAAAAAAAAATGTCAACTTTTAAAGTAAATTTAGAGTTAAAATTTTTATTTCGTAAAAATTTTTTGATACGTGTTCTAGAAGCTGTGGAGAGTCCTCTTTCTGGCCAATGAAAAGTTATCAACTTAAAAAAAATTTCTTAAGCGTTAAAATAAATTTTGAGTCAAAAACCGTCAAATTCGGTAATTTTTATATAAATGTGAAGAGTTTAAACCAAAAAATTTTTTGTAATTGCACATATGTATATAAATTATGCATTTTAAAAGCTTATGTGGGAAATATCACTTCTGATTATACAAGTATATATGTAAGCATGAAAAAAAAAGAATTTATCAACATAGAATACACAGTTGTTGGTATCTTTATTATACTTTCCAATGTAAAATTAAGGACAGGCTTTTTGCTAATAAGCAAACAATTTCAATAAAACAGTTCTCTGAACGTGTTCAATGTCTAAACCCTGAAATTTGCACATTTCAGTGAAATTTATTTCAAATGTAGTAAAAATAATTTTAGTACATACATTTATCATGAGAGCTTTGGAACCAAAGTCTGATATTAGAAGATAATTTTTTACTCAAGTAAAAGTTACAGAAATGCGGAAGTGCGTGCTTTATGCGTATTATATTCATATTAGACTACTTATCTATCTATCGAAGAAGCAATTTTATTAACTTTCGCTTATGCGACTTGCAACAGAGCCAACGCAACCGACTGAGATGAAGCGTCGCAACAATTCCGTTTCAGTGGCATCGAAGCCCGCTATTTCGGAAAAAGTGAGTATGATTTAATATAGTGTGTAGTGAATACATTCATATAAATTTATATCACTGGTTACCACGAGTGCAGACTAGCACATGCTCAAGAATCATTTGATGCGGAATTTTCTAAGCTTATCAAATTATATTTTATGAATTCCTTAGCGTGTCAGACACGAAGATCCATTCTGAGCTGCACACAAGATTACATGTTTGTATATGCACAAATGGCACAAATAGCATGCGAATGCCAATAGATAGGATAAGCATAATGTGCAGCTAAGTTGCAAACATTATTCACTTATGTCAGGCGCCAAGAAGCTACAGACACACATTTATGACTTGCATTAGCGCTTAAATGGAATTGCAAGTTGTGGGTGTAGATTATTGCACTTTTGCACACATGCATACACATATAAGAATATACGTAAAAGCACTTGCAAAATCATAAGTAAATTGGAATTGTTTGGCTGTACGCCATTTTAACGCGTTCTACATTGGAAAAAATAATGTGGCAATCTAAATAATGTACGAATAATATCAAAGTATAATAATAAATAAGTTGCTTGCAACTTGTAGTTAATGCATATTTATTTCATTATACTATTAAACTTAACTCAGTTATGTACCGTAGTGCGATCTGAATTTGTCCGCGAGCGCGCTCAGTGCATGTGTTAGTTTCCCAATTTCTGTGGGCGGTAGTCTAGGTATGTATGTGGTTGTGTTAAAAAATTGTGAAACGCAGCCAAGAGAAAACATTGCGATAAGCTGGCAGCATACAAAAGGGCATGCAAGTATACATAGAAACTTTGAGATAGGAAAGTGTGCGCTGTTCAAGCAAAATTTCGAATGTAAAATTAAAAGACAGTTGGTGAATGGGCGCGAGGCCTATTCAAGCAAACTTTTACTATGATTTCCGCTCTTAAAAATGCGGCAAACCTTGAGAATAGTGTGGCGAAAAATTTTTATTAAATATAAACGAAATGAAATTGTATACGAAATTTAATTGTTTGATAAAAATAGAATTCTGCTTAATCCATTGAAGATCATACTTCGGCTTATGAAATAAAAGTGCTTAAATTACACCAGTTCAAAATAAATTTAATTTCATGAAGTAGAAGTTCACACAAGCATGTTATATTGGAAGGAAAATTTATTATTTTGACATTTGAATTCATAACTGTAAGCCGTCAATCGCTCGGTTGCAACCTTGTAAGCTCAGAAAAAGCCCACACAAGCATGCAAACAATGCGTCGAGAGCGCATAAAACAAGAAACGAATGCGTGCTGCTCACATATTCGCACACATATGCAAGCAAAACATGTTGCGATGCACATACATATATACAATATACATATATACAGTTATGCATATACTAAATTACTCGTACATCATGATGTATGCATGCATGACTGGCAGGTAGGAAAGTAACAATTTCAATTTCCACAAGTGAAATTTTTGCCTCGGGCTTTTATACAAATATGCCGATGCGCACAAGTGTGCGTGTAAGTGTGCGTGTGGTGTGTATGGATATGCATAACAAGCATGAAATGATATTGAAATTTGTTTTCAAAATTGGCGCAACTTTGTTTTCCATTAAAACGCAGCAAAAAACTATAGCAGCTTTATAGCTCATGAGCGCTGTACAACGAGACTGCAGTGTGTGGTCGGAGTAGGGGTGGCTGGGTGCGGTGTGGCAATTTGCATACCCATGCAAATAAAGATTTGCATACTTTGCGGCGAGTTATGCCTGGCTGACGCTAATGCCGCATTCCGTGTGTGCACTTTTACTTATAAATAAGCAAATATTGGCGTGGACTCGTGTGCATGTGCCTTTATAGCTTATACGCATGATAAACAGCGCGCTTGATAAGTTGTGCACCTTTATGAACACGCGCGTGTAGTCAAATCTGTTTGTGAATGCATGTCGATAAGTGCCCACCTTCAAATATAAATCTGATTATGAAAGACTAGGTTTTAGAACCAGTGCAATTGCAGCCAATGGTCACCAGTGAGTTAGCGAATACACTGCAGCTAGTACAAAATATGCCTAATAGCCTAAAACTATGCTATAATAATCCTAAAAGTCTTTCAATAACTCTTCTACAGCTGTAGATTAAAAAAAGAATACCAAAAAGAACGATTTGACGACTTATTCTAAAGTCTGTTCACATATTATTGTAGTTATATATGGTTGATAAACTAGGAATTTATAGTTAATTAAGCAATTTTTGATGCTATAGGCATGACAACTATACAAGTACAGGATTAGTTAGTCTAAAGCAACTCGACATATGCCATTGTTCGGGCAAAGGATTTCAATTGTGATCTTTGCACCGGGTGTGTCTGAGAGGGAGCAACTACTGATAACAGCGTTTTTGTAGGTATGGTGAAATTTGTGGGAACAATGCGAGTTACTCGTAATGTAGCCATAACGGAATAACAACAACATAAAATGCAATTTTCATTTTTACGATCGTTATTTTATATTTCCGCCTCTTGCAGGTTATTGTTGGCGTGTGTCTTAGTAGTTGCTTTTGTATATATATCACTTTATTATTGTGTTTTCACTGCTTCTTTATTAAGATTTGGCAACATGCATAAAATTGCTATTGTTGCTTCTTCGAAGCATACAACCAGCCAAGTAAACAACGTACAAACGTAGTTGCTTCCTTCCGTGTCTTTCTTGTCTCCCTTTTACTCTTTATTTGCTCGATCGTACCGCAGTTTACGTCCACTTTTATACAGCGCCAAACCGTCAACCAGCCAAGTAGCCATGGAGTCGGCGAAAAGTGCCCACCGGGGGAGGGCGCACGGAAAACGGAAAATAAGATAAATGAAAAAAGAACTAAGAGCGAAATTCAAGAGGGGTGTGATGAAATTGTTGCACAATGTGACGTCTTTACATATGTACTTTCAGACGAAGTCGTGCAGTTTCATTTTTGTAACTTTTACTCCAATTTTTCGTCCAACCAAAGCTGGAAACTCCATGCTTGTTGCAGCATGAATACACACACACATTTATAAATTGTACGGTATTTGCTGAATGTACATTGATATGTAGGTATTAAGGCTTGAGCGCCAAAAAAGCCTGTCTATTGAGTTCTGAGATAAAGCTGTTCGGATCCATAATACCTCGCAGTCTTCAAAATTTTTTACTTTAAGTTAATTCCAGCGTTTTGTACTACGACTGATATTTCTATTATAAATTTGGACTTCAGGGTCGAAATACCAATAATTTAGTTCATTTAGGAAAGCTTCGATTCTCTATGTGCTATGTTCAATTTGAAAGCAAAGTCAAATAGCCAGATCTTATATGAATATACTTAGCTTAACAATCAATAAGGCTTAAACGTGCGTTACCGTTTGCGGTTGTGCAAGCAAAATCCATTATAGTTTGAATATCGCTCCAGTTTATAATTGCGAACTGCAAATAAAATTTACTTTTTATGATTTGCAAAATGTATAAACATTCGGCGCAAGATGCTCATTTTATACGCGTGTACTAAATGTATGGCTAAGAATTTTTGTAAAATGTTTGGAAAACGATGCGTGTATGCCGTGTAATGCGTTTACATGCTTGTAAACACAGCGCTGAAGGTTACGTGGGTTTCGGTAAAAACTATATGTATATATAAATTCAATTACAACCATTCGTTACACTCGGACTACGGCATGAACAACTGACCATCGCAACACATAAAGTACTATTTTTATGAACTCAGCAAAGAGAGTAAAAAGGCAAGAAGAATAAACCAAAAGAAAATGCCTTTTAGTACTAAGCAACAAGAACAAGGCGGTAAAAAACTAACTGCTCCGAAGAAAAAACGTCCGTAGCACGAGAGCACATCCTACTAGTGCATAAACGTCAACTAAGCACTCGGCGTGTGTTGGAGCTCATAAACATCAAGAAAACGTGCTACCGAAATGCAATAACGTACGCGGCGAGAGCCAATGCCGGACACACGTATGTACATATATACGGACACAAGCACACAACAAAATACACAAACAACTTCGCAAACATAAACGAGTACATGTATGTTCCTTACTTTGAGAGGATAGATACGCACAAGTTGTGTGTGGCGCAACTGTGCTTGCTTACGACCTTTCCTAGTGCGTCTTGGAATAAACATTTTAGTACTGCTCCTAAATGTATACTTCACTACTTGTGCCAATATAAAATACACTAGAAGTAATGCATGCGGCAATGTGGGCAAAGGAAAATGCCAAAGGTGGTCATGTAGTTTGGGTGGCACGTCTCTTTGTCAAATGTGCTATCCACTACATGCACATATGTGTGTGTGAGTGTATTTCTCAGCATCCCTAAATTACAGCACATACAAACAAGCATTTATAACTGCCATATCCATAATAATAAAGGAAGCTTTGATATAAAACCAATATATTTGGCACCCTCGCAAGAGTTTGAGGACAATTTTCATTTTTCTAGAAATGATTTTTGTATTATATTTTTAATAATATGCAAATATTATATCAGAAATTGCACAAGGAAGATTTTAGTCTATTTTAGTCTATATCAATCTCCATTCTAATTTTAGTTTATAAAGAAAAAAAATTTTTGAGTTGGGATCTATTAAACTAACAATTTTCAGTATTATTGCATTATTTATAGCTAAGACGTATGATTATTATGTAGAGCTGAAAGCACATATCTGTTTGCTACAAGATATGCATTTAATTGACG